TTCAAAGCCACCATAGAGAGTTTGATGCAGCGTTTTAACCAAACTGGAGGTATGTGTTCACTTTTTACTGATGAAATGTTCTTCATTTTCTCAGACAGGAAGTTAAAAGTCTCTCTCTCTCTCTCTCTCTCTCTCTCTCTCTCTCTCTCTCTCTCTCCCAGGTATTCACATTTTCCAGAGGATGAATGGCTGTGAATGGGACAATGAGACTGATGAGGTCAATGGTAATCTTCATTATGCCTATGATGGAGAAGACTTCATATCATTGGACCTGGAGACAGAGACATGGATCGCTCCAAAACAACAGGGTGTTTTCACCAAACACGAGTGGGACACAGATAGATACAACAGTATATTTTGGAAGAATGCCCTTAGACACGACTGCATTGAGGGCCTGAAGAAGTATGTGGACATTGGAAAGAGCTCTTTGCAGAGAACAGGTATAATCACATGGCCTGATGTGATTTCAGACACAGAACGCCACCTCAGTTTTAAAGGTTTATTCTTTAATAATATAGTAGTACCACTTTTGAGTATGATCGCCCTTTTATGAGTTATAACTATGGTCACTCAGTCAGTATTTAGTTAATGTCTCTCTCAGTTTCTCGTTGCTGATGCTGCCTGATAATCTACCACTCAGTTTGTCTGTTCAGTGCTACATTGCACTGAAGTGTACTTTGAGATTTGTAAGACAGGATGACCTGTGTTTGACAAACTTAGTTGAGTCTAAGAACCGGCTCTCAACATCAGGACTTGGGCTCACAGGCTTTGATTAAAGAACTTGTTTGGATTCTGATTTAATACATCCATTGTTCGTTGTTATTCTGGGGACTCCAAGGATGCACAAATTTTAGTGTGCAGGGTTTCAAAAGCGTGTTTATCACAATTCTCATACTTTGTGTTTGTCAGGAGGCCCTACACTTCATTACCATATAGTAAACTTGGTTCAGTAACGGGTGGGAATATTTTTAGCCAAGATCAAGTTGGTAAAAGTAGGTGTGCAGAAATTGCCCTTTGTTTCTCCGATTATTCACTTCCAAATTGTAACTGCACGTAACGGTCATTTTTTACTTTATTTTTCTCTGACTCTCTCCTCTCTTATCTGCAGACCTTCCCTCAGTGTCTCTCCTCCAGAAGTCTCCCTCCTCTCCAGTCAGCTGCCACGCTACAGGTTTCTACCCTAACAGAGCCATGATGTTCTGGAGGAAAGATGGAGAGGAGATTCATGAGGACGTGGACCATGGAGAGATCCTCCCCAACCATGATGGATCCTTCCAGATGAGTGTTGACCTGGACCTTTCATCAGTCCCACCTGAAGACTGGAGGAGGTACGACTGTGTGTTTCATCTCTCTGGTGTGAAGGAAGACATCATCACCAAACTGGACAAAGCAGTGATCAGGACCAACTGGGGTAAGACTGAGATCAGATAACATGAAAAATTGAAAAAACACATCTGTTTTGTTTGTTTTGTTTGTTTGTTTGTTTGTTTGTTTGTTTTAGGTGTTGTTTTTTTAGTGTTTTGTTTGTCCATTAAAGCTGGATCATAACTACAGAGGTTGTGCCCAAAAACATTTGTTATTAATTCAAATGTAGACGAGTTGTTAGGAAGTTAACTCTTGGCACTGGTTTTTGGAGCTTAATCTTAAACCTCAGGCTAACAGGGTGGTTCAGATTTAGAAATTCATATCCTGTTCTTCATCTTATTTTCATAGTTTTTGAAACAACAACTTGAGTGACTGTAGCCTGTTTAATGCTAATTTTCCAGTCAGAGAAACTGCAGCAACTTCTCTCCGTCTGATGAAGCAGTTATTTACAAGCATGCATTTGTTTCCAAACATGATGGGGTTGGCAATCTTAGCAGATACATTATGATTGTAGGTATACTGAGTGAATGTTATACAGTTGTGGTCATTATTTCTGATCATCAGTTCTGATAACATTATAGTCATCACAGTCATCTTAGAGTAAACATATTCATCTCTATCCAGTAGTAGAGACAAAGTGTGACTGTCCTGTTGTGGTTCCAGTTTCTCCCTCACAGTTTCCTGTTGGTGCTGTTATTGGAGTTGTTGTAGGACTGCTGCTGCTGCTGACACTCTGCATCACTGGACTCTGCATCTGGAGAAGGAACCATCATGGTGAGATTTCTTTCTCCATCAGTTGATTTAACATGCAGGTTCAACTCAATGATAAAATACATTATGTTTTCTCTGAGAAAGGATAAATGTTTTGAAAAAAAAGTGTGAGCTGGCTGATGGTTAGTAGTTTACCGCCAAAAGAACATAGAAGTCCTCATCAGATGTACTGTATATACTGTAGAAGGGCTGCTCTCTACCTTAACGTTCAAAGCAGATCTGTGAAATATACAAAATATGCAGAAGAGTTTTGTTTCTTCACGTTTAATTCTGTAATCTCTCATCTGTGTTTTCAGGATTCAAACCTGCAAACAGTAAGTTTTCCACATATTTGTGTTATTATTCAGATTTTAATGTGTCTGCTATTACTTCCTTGTTAATATTAGTAGTCAATCATACATTTCCAGTCCTATCTCTAACAATTTCAGTTTGAATTATTTCACTTAATCCTCTGCCTCTAGCTTCAGACTCTTCATTGTCATCAGACAACACTTCAGCTTCTAACTGATCACAGTGAGTAGGTTTTTGTCTCATATAATGTGCACGTTCCAGAATTTACAAAGGCAAGCTACATAAAGAAACATTTTCTCGGTGATTGAGCCAGATAGAATTGCGGGCACACATTTGATGCCTGTCAGGCCAGAAATCAAAGGTGGTGTATCAAAGTATTCAGGTCCTTTATAAAGTTAAAATATCAACAGAATGATTTTTAAAATACTTTATTACAAGTGAAAGTCCTGCTTCTTAAAATACTACTTAAGTAAAAGTACTGGACTGAATCTTTGCTTTTAGTGAAATATATTCTGACTTCTTTGGGTTTCAAACACTTAGATATAATATTTTTGGCCAAATACCTGAATATCGATATTGCGAGGATATTGTAGGGTTGACTATTAGTGCTTTCATAAAATATTTACACAATGAGATCTGTGATAAATAATCCTCAGTAATGTGGATATAATGACTAAGTGGGTAAAGGCAAATAATAGAACAGCTAGAACCCAGCTCTATTTTCCACCACTGCCATTATTTGCTTAAATCACTGAAATCAACAAGCCTTTATATGGGACAGGCCTTAAATTCCTTTCACACAAAACTGTTGCTCAGCAAAGATCAGGAAATACAATCAAATTGTTTATTTAAACCAGTATGAATATTACTTGTTTAAAAATTAGGCTTCAGATAACATATCAATAATGAATCATTAATTTGATCTAACTCCGTCTAAAGGAATATGAATAACTTACAGCAGGGTAATCAAGGAATGGACACATAATTTGAGGTAGCCATCAACCTGGTTTTATAAGAACATCTATTAAAAAATGAAATGCTTGGCAACCAGATTAAGCATCTAATTGAGACAGGTGTTTATTTGTCAAAATGTGTAGTCACACTGGGCTAGTGAAAGGGACTGGACGCTGGGACAAAGCTTTTAATTGAAGTTCTACTGTATGTATCCCCCCCCAACAGGATAAGTCAGACTGCCAGGCATGAACTGATTTACACTGCAAACATGATTATTGAAGTGGCAGTCAGAGCTGACAGAAGCACACCTGTGGAGGAAAATCCCAGCTATAAACTCTTGTCTCTCCATTGTGTCACAAACTAAAATACTTCTTCTTAGTGCTTGAGCATAAATCACAGAATCTATATTCTCTTTTTAGCTACTGTAGCATTTTCTTCATTTGTGTTGTTTTGTTGTTGCTATTTTTAATGTTTCCTGTTTTTAGAATCTGTTATTTTCTGAAGTACTGCAGCTTAAATTGCTTGTGTGCCTGTGCAGTTGAGCTTTTTTTGAAATTTTATTTTATATTTTATTCATTTTTGAGTTTGTGGTCATTTTAATCTGTTAATGATGACGATTGATAATGTTGTAAATTGTAATTATGTAAAACTTAAAACAATAATACATCTTTCAAAATAGATCAATGAGGACATTACACAATGTGGGATACAGGGAACACACCAGCACACTGTTTTTAAAGGCACATGCAATGAAATTTTTCGATCTGGTCAAATTTAAAACTGCAATAATCATGTTTTACAAAAACAACGTGTTTGTACAACTAGGAAGAGTCTGGGTATATCAGTGTATGGGGTGGACTGGTGGAATGGGCTGCGTGAGTTGAAACAAAGCACAAATATAAATACATTTTAAAGACTATACAAAAAAAATATATAACGTACATATAAATAAAGTTTTACTTGTACCTACTCCTTTTCGGACACTGTTATCTTTTTCTTGTTTGTTTTTTGGTTTGAAATAAAGTCATTCATTTGTTCAGTGTTTGTTAATGTGTTATCAGCTTTCACAGTAGCCTAAGTGAATCTGCAGCAACAGCCACTTCACATTAAACAATATTTTAGTTTTGGATTCATGAGCAGATGCAACATGACAGAGCAGAATCAACAAAATAAATATCAAAAGAGAAGCAGAAGTTTTTACAATGATTGACAGTTTTGTCTTGACGGATGATGGTGGAAGACTTTACCTTTGACCCATAAATATCTTGAAGTATCTTAATAATCTTGTTATGGCATTAGTTCCTCTACAGAGTTAATGAATCGTGTAGTTGGTAACTGAAAATGTTAAAGTACATTTACTTAAATACTACACACAAGTAATTTTGAGGTATTTGTACTTCAACTGGACATTTCCATTATATGTTACTTTATATTTGTGCTCCACTACGTGTCAAAGAAACTATTGTATTTTTTATTATTTCATTTTATCATTAATATATTGTTACTTTACAGATTACATGTTGTAAGAAAAGATCAGATAAAACTTTTTAATACAGAACTGATGTCATGGTCTTGATGGTCTGACATGGTTTAATGTTACATGGTGTTGCTTTCCTTAAATGAAACAGGAGCTCCACCCCCTAGACTTCCTAACATTTGACTTAGACACAGAGTCATGGGTGGCTTCAAAACCACAAGCTGTCATCACCAAACACTTCTGGGACAGACAGAGAGCCAGAAATGAGCTTTGGAAGAATTACCTCACCCAGTTTTGTCCTGAATGGCTGAGGAAGCATCTGAACTTTGGGAGGAGCGTCCTGCTGAGAACAGGTAGAATCACATGACCTGACATAGTTTCATGATGGAACAACAATGTACACAAAAACACTGCAGTCTGTGATATTCAGTTACATTACAATGAATATGAATTGTTCTGGGTCACTGTTTTTCAGGTGATTGTAAAATTTAATTGCTCTTTCGCAGTTTCAGTATGAGGTACTGCTCTACAGGCATTATTTGGTTTCTTTCACTGGACATGCAGTGAGTTTTTGCAGAACTTGTTTTGTCCAATTTGTCAAATTCATGATTAAATGTTGGTCCCAAAATCTGGCTACCATAGAAAATTATTGGTTCCAAAACAAATTGGAAGATTTTTAGCCAGATTGTAATTGGAGTGTGAATTTTAAGATTAATTCTAATTGTCCCCTTTTCCCTGTCAAAGGATCAGTGAAGTGCTCTATGTATTTATTACTGAGTACAGACCATGGTCCTAACCTGACGTTAGTCTCCTTATTGTAGAAACTTACATTCATTAGTTCAGGGTGACACATATTCTTACAGATATAATGAACGTTTTCTGGCTATCGATAAATTGTTGTGATATTGGAGCCCAGAAGGAAAAGAGGAGGGACTTAGAAAAGGTGTGTTGAGGGTATTTTTGTATTCTGTTGTAGCAGAGTTTAGTAGGAATCCAATCCAGCATTTATTCATAACATTTTGGTCATTGATAAAACTGTTTTTTTTTTTTTTTTTTGAAAAGCTTTTCCAGGTTAAAATAATAATAAATTAATGTTATTTATTCCATATGCCAGGGAAAGTACTAGAATTATTTTAAAAAGTCAGAGTACAGCCAATTTAAATTTAGTGGTCAGCCCTGTGATAGTTTGACGGCCTGTTCAGGGTGTACCCAGCATCTCGCCTAATGTCAGCTGTGATAGGCTCCAGCCGCTGTTGAAATAGCTGTCAAACCATTTGTTATTGTTTATTTGTGTTGGTTTTCAAATTTTATAATAATGCTAATTAATCAAAAAAATATTAATTTTGTCTTCAACAGGCTTATCATCATCATTATTTTAGGGAAACATTTTACTAAGAAAAAAAAAGATTTAATAATGGGGATTTTCAGATGCATGTTGGTAGTTCTCCATGCCATCTGGTTTCCATCTGTATGAATATGTGTGCAGTGTACTGGGTTTATAGGCCTCATAGTCAGGGGCGCGCCATCAGGAGAGGCAAATGACAGCTATAAACCCCCAAATCTCCCATAAGTGCATGACCGCTGCCCCACTGCCAAGAGCTAAATTAAATGTGTATTATCCCAGACAGACTCCCATTGTCTTTGTTACCAACTATTGTAAATGAAGAACAATTTTATTTGAATAAATGAGTGTTTAAAAACTCTCTCTCTCTCTGCAGACCTTCCCTCAGTGTCTCTCCTCCAGAAGTCTCCCTCCTCTCCAGTCAGCTGCCACGCTACAGGTTTCTACCCATATAGCGCCATGATGTTCTGGAGGAAAGATGGAGAGGAGATTCATGAGGACGTGGACCACGGAGAGATCCTCCCCAATCATGATGGAACCTTCCAGATGAGTGTTGACCTGAACCTTTCATCAGTCCCACCTGAAGACTGGAGGAGGTACGACTGTGTGTTTCATCTCTCTGGTGTGAAGGATGACATCATCACCAAACTGGACAAAGCAGTGATCAGGACCAACTGGGGTAAGACTGAGGGAAGTTAAGAACTAATAATAATAAGGCAGTTAAAGAATGTAATCAAACCAATGCACATTCTCACCCAGGATCACCGGTCAGATCATGTAAGCTTAACAGGACTTAACAAAGTCATAGAAAGTTTGAAAGAATTTTATACATCACATTGTCTTTACCACACAAGTGACAGCTTTGTGCTGCCTGTCCACTCTTTACTGAACTCAGAATTAATACAGAACAAGGGCAATGATGAAACCTACAAAACAAGTTTTGTTTGTTTGTTTGTTTGTTCAACAGAGAGGCCTGGAAACGTGACCGTCCTCATCACTGCTGCAGTGGCTGTTCTTGCTCTCGTCTTCATCACTGCCATTGCATTCATTGTTTACAAAAGGAAGACAGGTGAGAGAGAAAAATGCAAACATCATCTGCTAAACTGACTTTTTCAGTTCTGTTATCCAGGTTGCATTTGAACTGAATAAATAAGCATCAGTTCCCTGCACCTATGATTTGAAGCAACCAACAGGAAGCGTCTCAAGGCTCAGAGCCTGTTAGTCATGATAATGTGACTATACCACAATGATGTGGGAGAGAAGAGATCAGTAAAGAAATAAAGTCAGGATGAAACAAAAGGGTAGAATGGATTTATTTTTGAGTCAGAGTGAGTAGAAGAGGGGAACACATTCAGTGAGGAAAAGGTGACAGAAGATATTCTGGCATTTACAGCTGTAACTGAACTGATTTGTCTTTTTTTTCCTGATTTCAGCCAAAAGTCCCCCACCTCGTAAGTAAAACTTACTTTTATTCTATTTCAACTGATCTAAAACACACTTTATGCTGCAGATTAAAAAGTGTTTCAAGTTATTGTGCAGATGATTTTTTTCAAGACTGTTTCCTGCATTTATTTTTTCTAAATGTTCAGAGAAAGATGAGACTTCAGGAGTTTCACACAGACATTTTGTTTCTGACCTTACAGCTCCTGACAACAACTACGAGCTCTGTCTGAGACTGAATCCAGACACCTGATTGTGAAAAACAAAGTGAACACTTTGATATGTGTCATATTATAAAGCTTCACAGAACTAAAAGAGACTGAAAGAAAGCTTCCTGCTGTAAAAGTGAAGAAGTACACTTTATGTGTTTGATATTTAAATGTAATCGTTTTATTTCACATTGTAAATGTATGTTTAATGTTTATTGTATTATGTATTCATTAATCAATTTTACATTTATGTAATGATGTGTTACTTGTCTGTTTTTTAAAAGACAGTGATGGTGGCTGGACAACTGAGCAGGACATGTCACTCATGAAGTTTCCCATCAAGCCAGTGAAATGATGGACTTTTAATGTATCTTGTATGTTAACACTCTGTTATTGCTACTTTAATTAAGCAAAGCAGCTGAGTTCTTCTGTGACAACTGCCAGATACAATTATGATATCTTTATCATTTAGTTATGATATATCAGGGAAAATTTGGTAAATGTTTGTTGCCATTTGCAAAGACAGGGCCATAACTAGCTTAGCTTCTTTCTCATTATCACCAAACTGGATAAGCAGTGATCAGAAACAACTGTGTAAGTGACTTCAATATCAGGTCCAGTCAGGTGTAGAGACAAAGTGTCAATGTTCTGTTGTTACTGAAGTTGTTGTAGGACTGCTGCTGCCGACACTCTGCATCACTGGACTCTTCATCTGGAGAAGGAACATTCATGACAAGGAACAAAGACATTTTTACTCATCAAAGACCCATTTGTACTCCACTGTGAACACCAGTATTGTACAGTTCTGGCGTTTAACTCATGTATTGAGAATTACTCTCTTACCTTTTAAAATAGGAGCAGAAATCAGTGAAATTAATGGGGTATGTCCATTTTTTGTTTATCTTAAATGTTTTAATTTTTACTAATCTCCCATCTGTATTTCAGGATTCAAGCCTGCAAACTGTACGTATCATTTCATATCATCCATCTGTCCTTTACCTTTGTCGAAATAAACACATTTACTAGTGTTAACCTCCTGTGACACTGCATCCTCATATCAGGGTATTACATTTTAGGATTGCTGCACCTGATACTTGATTTGCTTAACTTAGACTTGTTCCTATTTATGGACGCATTTATCTGCCATCTAGTGGTAGCAAGAACACATTACAATAATCTATGTAAAAACAAGATGGCAGCCATCTCTGCCAAGTCAGTCTGCAGCCAATCCTGACACAAAAGTGGACAAAGTACAAAACCTGATCAAATTTTATGGTTGAAACTTATTTATTTGCGCTTATTAACGTTTTTAGTTTGATATTGCATACAACTTTGACTGCAGTTACACAAAACTGAGAGTACATCAGGTTGAAACAGATTACAGCTGGGTACTACTCCAAAGTTTACTTCTGTCGTTCAACAGGGAGAGCATTGTCAGCTACTTGGACAGAGCTTTTGCTGTTTGTTTAAAGAGACGACTTGGATGAACATTCAAATGTCCGCAGTGTCACACATATGCTCTGCACGTGCTGAAAGCTGTCACCCACTCAATTGGGCTAAAAAGACAGAGGTTTGAAAGAGTTTGCAACATTTGCATTTGCCAGGTTGCAAAGTGCTACCTCAATGACCACAGCACTGAAAATCTTCCATGTACTGTGCCATGTGTTGCTTTCCAAACACAACACCAATGCTGTGCAGATAAATCTGAAGGCCATGCAGGCCCTAATAGAAGAATGCAAGATTCCTGACATGGCAGAGACAGAAAAAATAGAGGATGGTCTCTTGTCTCAGAAGGAACATGATGATTAGAGAAGAATTGCCCACACAATTATTGGCAGAAGATGACAAGACCCCAAATAAAGAGGAAAATCCAAACTTCTGCCCAGGTATTGTTGATGTCCTTTTTGAGAACTACCTAGGTATTTTTCCTCTTTGGAGTGGTCTGCTGTTGGGAAATGTGAAGAGGTACGCATCTGACAAAGAGGATAATATCCTTGCCCCAAGTAAAACCAGGGTCACGAACTGTCATGAGGGGAGATGGTTTTTTAATCGTCAGTCAGTTCTCAAAAAGCAGAGGCGATTGAGACCAGGGACCTTTGTCAGAAAAATGTATGGCTCTCTGCAGGGGAGATACAGAGAACATATCATTGCTCATAACTTCTCTGAACAATTACTTCTTCAACCTATGCTGTCAAAAGACATCACACAGTCTCAGGAGAGTTGGGCAAAGAGGGAAGGAGCAAAGCTGCACACTGCCAGCTCCAAATTTTACACAAAAACTGTTCCAGTTCCAAAAAGAGCTAAGTCTACTCCAAAAAACTGGCAAAGATCTCCAGAAGAGCAAAGATGAGAAACACAGCAGCAATGATCCAACAAGTAAAGGCTCCAAGCCTGCACCAGAGGTATTTTTCCTGATCACTAAAATAAAATGCATAGTCTAACTTGATTAAAAAGTCATTGTGATTTGTGGAACCTGAAACCACGAAATACTTTCCAAAGCAATAGAAAAAATTAAGGAATCATTAAGAAACATTTTGCATCAGCCAGCTGTATTCACGTCCAAGTTGTGTTTACCCACCACACAGTTCTACTCTTCCTGAAGTTGCTTATCAAATCACAGAACACAACAATTTCAATAATGTCAGAAATATTCAAGAAGACAAAATAAGATAGACTTGTTTAATAGGAGCTTTCTGTACCAGGAAAGCTGAATGTGCAGACAGAGTATTGAAATATTTACAGTTTAATGAGTTTGCAAAAAGAAGTGTTAACAGTCTTATTATTCATATCCTTACATGTTGATTTCCTGTGGAAATTCCACCGACATTTCACATTGATTCATTGAAAAAAGGTCTTCAAAATCTACGAAGAGAGATGGCAGAAGAAACTTTTAAAGGATCAGGTAACACCAACGTCGGGTGATTTTCACCCACGCATTTGTGGTCATGTGATTTTCATTGTGTTGCTTTTGTCTGAGTTGGCTGGGTCCTTGGGTATAGCTTCAGGCTGCTCACTTGCGTCATCAAAGGTAGGCGTGTTTCCCTGCTCCCATCCCTGTTTTTTTCAACAGGCATGTGTTCGGGTGATTTTTGCCCGATGTTTATGATTGCGAGTATATTATTTTTTGGGTGGATTTTACCCGACGTTAGTGTTAGTGTGTATTAAATCAGGCAATCTTATTACTTTTCAAGGGTAACAATGTTCAGGCCTGCCATATTTATTGCCCCATATCATGCACAGGTATCATTTTGTCACAGGCTTTGTGACTCTGGCATGGCAAAAATTGAGTAAAGCATAGCTAAAGTTCCTTTACGTCTTCAAGCTAGCTACAGGTGAAGTTGAAGCAGTCATAGAGAAAAAAAGAATGCCCCGAAAACCAGTGAAATACATGTCCCAGAAGGAAATAGAAGAGCTTCTGTACAGGGAAAGCAGTGAGGAAGCTGTTGATGATGTGGAAGCAGAAGTGATGTATGACAGTGACAGTGATAAAGACTACATACCGGAACCGAGTGATGATGATGATGATGAGGAGGATGATAGTGATGGCATTGAGCCTAGCACTTCAAGTCAGGGCCTGTTGCCTCTGCCACTGACCCGTGTGTCCTCGCCACTACTACCCTGCCTGTACCGACTGTATGTAAGGTATAAGGTATTTAGAGTGGTCCTGGTATTTGTATGTAATCCTTAGTTAGTGTAATGATTTTGAATAAATATCACTTAGTGGTAATTTCCAAGGGAATTCATAAGGTCAAAACATTTATAGTCAGCTAGTCATTTTTCCCCTCTCAGAAAATGCCATTTTTTGTTTACCTCTCAAACAGTTGTCAGTGAGGTAGGGACACTGCCTTGGCTCACATGTCCCAGGAATACTTGGCCCAAGGAACAAGTTCCCAGCTCCATTATTTATTTATTTTTAAGATTTTTTTTGTTAACAATTCCCTATTTTTTCCACTAATTTCAGAGCCTTTTTATAGGGTCGCCCCATGATTTTGGTTTAATGAGACATTGTATAGGAGGACATAAAAGAAGAGTACTTAAATTTGCCATGTATTGTTGTACTTTAATATATTTTGATGAGAAGATTTTTTTATCGGGGATCACAGCAGGTAAAATATACCCGACGTTAGTGATGGTGCTACTAAATGTTACGTTAATGTTCTAGGGTTAAGAAATATTGAAAGAATATGTTAAACGCGGCCCCTCAATGTATATGGTGACTACGGCCCTGTCATGCATGCATAATTAGGCTGCAGTTGTCTGGGTGCGCAAAGGTGAAGTGGCTGGTCTTGTCATACAAAGTTTGATGGAGTGTCAACTGGACAATATGGAGATATGTGCATCTTGAAAGCCGGACTACAAATGTGGATAGACAGGGAGAAACACACGCAAGCCTAAGACGTGGTAAGATACGATATTCCTCACTATATGAAGTGACTGATAACAAGATCTGTATAATGGATTGTAAAGAAATTCGTCAGGTTTTTATTTTGTAGACGATCTGGATTTATAGCGTGATGGGATGACAGCACAATGATGTGTGGTATCACTGGAAAGCGCTGCTCCTGCGCTTTCATGTGATATGCGTGGCATTTCTGTGCATTCGCGAGTAATCCATCCAAGATGTGTGTGCAGAGCTGTATGAAAGCTCTGTTATACATCATTTTAGTGTCATTTTATCATTTTATTTCGCTGTGAAAACATTGGACTACCGACAAGTGCTTGTCGGTCTTGTCGGAAAGCTACAATTCCGCTGTTTCACGTGATATGCGTGGCTTCTCGCTATGACGCATGGTCGCAGAGAAAATCAATGGCGTTAGCGTTAGCGGCTATGCTAAAAATAAGCTAGCTAGTGCAAAAAGCAGGCTAATGTTAGCCAGCTAGCTAGCGCAGGGCATGAGCTAGTTGTGAAAACTTGGGATCGGTAGGACCGATTGCAACAGTGGTCACGTAGAGAAGGTACAGACAGTTTGCCAAGAGTATGACAGTTAAAAGTAGATAAAAAATGTTAAAGAAGGTAATTTTCGGGAGCCGACCCGACAGAGGTTCGCTAAATGCGTGCATGCGTACCAGAGTCAGTAGTCAGATGACTTCACTAACAGCTCTCCCCGACAGCATGCTAGCTGGCCACCCGCATCTGGCCAGGTACGTCAGCGGCATTGTTCTGGGGGTGGGGAATGCGCTGGGGAAACGCTGCGCTAAAACAG